CAATAGGAGCGTCTAGTTTGCCATGTTCCCCACATAGAATTGCCTTAATATTGTAGCTAAAGAAAGCTTTCATGAAGTCGGAATCAGATATTATATAAAATATTAGAAAATGCGCTAACTTGTGAAATTATAACAGATTTTCTTTTAAACCAATGGGATGGATGGATTATACAATACACAATTAGCACCTTCTTGCATTCCTTTGCCGTTTGCTTCTCTAGCTCTTACTCGGGGCATTACTTAAGTGAATTTGATATTCACTAAGACATGTAAATATGGTGCGAATATCGTAGTTCACGTCAGTTTCACATTTAAGTGAATTTAATATTCACTCAGGGATGTAAATATGACGTGAATATCGTAGTTCACATTCACAGTATAAGTAAATCTTATGTGAATATCGAATTTACAATATTTATGAATATGTTGAGAATTTAGCGTGAATCTAGAGATTCACTTCACTTTTGCTCCATATATATTGTAACAGTGAATATCATATTCGGCTTGAGGTGAATATGATGTGAATATAGACCTCGAAATTCACACCATATTCACACATGCAGCATGAAATCATTTTTTCGTGCAGTGATGATGATGTCGGTGACCGACGAAAGCTTGAGATAATAACCTTCTTTGCAGTAGTGTTTAGCTCCTTATCTCATCTTTTTGAAAAGGTTGCATACTCAAAAAGGTATTTCCAACGTTAGAATTGAGGACATGTTTTGGTCTAGTTCAGTTTCTGAGAGTAGAATATATTCTCTGTATAGTTCATAACAAGCTAAAATCTTCGCATCGCATGCATCTAGCATTTCTACACTACCATGTTGCACGGAACATAATGAATCACGTGATCAATTGGATTTTCTTTGGTCTTTTTTTCTCTTTTTATGTATTGTTTATTTATTTTTTTAAGTGGGCAATCTTTTAGAGATCAACAAATTAAAATCTACTCTCGTCTACCACTTGTTAGTCGAGAAAGGCTCCCTGAAATTGAAGGGAACTAACTGTAATATCGCTTATTTTTAATCCTCTCTATCATCCAATGCCGATGTGCAACGTGAATTTACTTTATGAAATAGGTATTATGGGGCTATTATATAACGCACGCAACGATTGTTTGAAATGTGCAAAAAAAAAATCCAATAAAAGAATAGAAACAGGGAAAGGTTGTTGTTATTTCATAAATATTTTGTTTCCATATTAAGAAACACTTGGGATTGTTGGGAGAACTCTCCAAAAGGTTTTGAATCACTCACTTTCAGCTCGTGTCGCTTTGTGCGAAACTCTGCTCTCTGGTGCAACCCAATAATCCTCGTCTTTATGATTAAGTAATGCCCCGAGTAAGAGCTAGAGAAGCAAATGCAAGAAGGTGCTAATTCTGTATTGTATAATCCATCCATCCCATTGGTTTAAACAAGAAAATCTGYTATAATTTCACAAGTTAGCGCATTTTCTAATATTTTATATACACCATATCTGATTCCGACTTCATGAAAGCTTTCTTTAGCTACAATATTAAGGCAATTCTATGTGGGGAACATGGCAAACTAGACGCTCCTATTGGCTATTGTTTTGAGTGCTTATGATTGGATAAGAGGTTTTAATAGAAAAGAAACTTTGTTTCAAAATAGAGTTTATCCACATTTTATTTCAAAAATGTGTTACCCATATGTTGATATATAATCAGTGTGAAAACCAAGACATTTGTATGTGGGGAAGTTGCAATGCCGCAGAACAATAGAGAGTTCTATAGTTCTTACGCACATTGTTACTTAACAGAGCACGAAAAACAACAACAAAAAAACAGAAAGTATCTCCTAATGCAGAACTAAGAAAAATCTGTATTTTGAGCTTCAAAACGATTCAATATATTTTCATTGATTTTCATGCTAGTTTGATAGTGATGTTAACGATTGATGCTGTTTTGAACCTTTTATGATTAAGGATGACTCACATTGCAGCCAAATTAGCGTCAGCGTGGACTTCTGGATTTCCAGGGATTTTGTGCTGTTTCCCACTTATTTTTATGAATTCTAAAAAGACACCTTTCTCTGTTACACAAACTGTATTTATTGAAGAAATGCGCCACTTAATTGCTTATCGAGCTGTATATAATATTTTAATGAGAGATAGCTATTGCTCATGAATGATTTACACGTTACCGATAACATGTATTGGTTATTAGTTTATAAGATTAATTTATATGTAAGTGCGGTTGAAGAGCATGCATAAAAAATACAGTTTGTGTAACAGTGCAAGGTGTCTTTTAGAATTCTTAAAAATATTTATAAGTGTGAAACAGAAGATCCATGTCAAAAAGGCCTATTAGAAAAGCAGAATAGGAATACCATACGTCAAAGTAGAGGGATAGTGTTGTCGGCCTCGCGGACTCGGCCTCATGGGCTATTAGCTCGTAGTCCACTCGACCAACAGTACTATCTCTCTTTGATCGACGTATGGTATTCCTATTTTGCTTTCAAATATAGGCCTTTTTGACATGGATCTTATTCAATGTTATTCGATTACAAACATAAAATGCATAATTTCCTTCGATGAACGTGCGCGCAAAAGCGGAAGATGTTTATTCTAAAAACCCTTTGGTCACAATAAAAAATGTGAAAAACAGCTGCGATATTCCCCACTAAAGGAGCTGCTGTCTTTTTAATCAGACATTATCATGTCAATATCTATTTGTGCGATCATTAGGTATAGGCTTTCTGTTTCAAAGAGCTAGATTTTCGCGTTTTTCGTTGTTGTTGTATTTTTTTCCTGACGCGTAGCTAATTCACAACAGCTTTTTTTAAGGTAAAATATATTACTGTCGTGCATTTTAGATTTCTGTCGACTGAAATTAGAAAAAATTAACATATTGCAGTAAGCAGCCTTTCGTTAAGTTTTTGCATCAGGTCTAGTCAGTATGAATAGCAGTATAATCAAAGAACAGGCTAATACACCTTTACCGTAATGGCTGCAATTGTGTTTTTCCAAAATAAGATAGATATCAATATTTTGTCACTGTAACATCAAAGAACTAACAGAAATAAACGTTTTTGGAACGTTTTAGAACTCTGGACAAAATAGGAAAAAAGTTATAGTGAAAGGAAAATACAAAGAAATGTATGTAATTTTCCACCAATGGCTGTCTGTCTATTTGCTTCTGAAAAAAATATGAAATATGTGAAAACTTTGTCACTGCCATTTGAATGAACTACCAGAAATAAACATTTTTGGAAAGTTTTACAGCCCTGGATAAAATGCGAACAAATTTATGGCGAAATGAAAATACAAAGAAATGTATGCAATTTTCAGTCAAGGGCTTTATAGCCTCGTTCTGGTGATATGATATATTTTAAATCCTTATAAATTCACCAGGATTTGATATTTTCATTTCAAACTTTTATATTTTGTTATTAGCACATGTTCCTATCAACTGTCAGTTTACTTTGACTAAAATTTGAAATGTTAAAAATTTATGTTAATCAGATGGCGGCCATTATGGTAAAGGTGTAAAAACGATCTTATTGAACATCATCGAATAAAATTCGTTCAACGTTAAAGTTCTGCAAGACGTCACAGGGAAACAGGAATTTCTAATGTACGGAATCCTTTTTATAAGTTCACTTGCCATGGTCACTACCTTGCGGCCCTACAACGCTCAACAAAGAATTGTAAATAAGTTTCGAAGAAAAAAATAGCACCATTATTATACTTTATATAAGAGACGTGAGCCAAACCAAACCAAAAAAACACCACTATTCTTCTTTTTTTTGTTTTTTGTTTTTTGTAATACAAATAACCAAATACAAATGATAATACACTATACAAATAATGAATAAAAAATGCATAATACCTAATACAAATATATAATTTCAACTCTATCTAATGCTGAAAGTCATTTATCTATTTTACATTAAATTTATTTATAATGTTTGTTATAAAATCTAAGGATTAATGAAGATTTTTTTGCAGACCAACCTCCACCGCTTTTAGAATACAGATTAGATTGATAAAAAAGGAAGCGATTTTGGTATTTTGTTGTGCATTTTTACAGCAATTCAATTCAATTTCAGTTTATTCGCACTTTTACAGATGATTTACAACAATTCAATATTTAAAATAAGAGAGCAGATTGTTTAATTGGTGTACGTGTACGGCAGCTGATTGGTTGAAAATGACAGCGTAGCGAGACCAATTGTTCATCTCTTACGATTAAAGAATATAAAATATGGATGCAATAAGAATACCGAAGAGCATGCATTCCAAAAAACAGTCCTTCTGTTAATTTATTCTGTTACTCTTGGTGCTTTTGGATTTCTGATGTTTGACTTTGAACTTCAATGTGATCCGAAGTCTAAAATGTTGTAAACTGACAAATATATCAGCGGTAACAGGGCTTTGCAATTAACTACATGCAAATAATGCTATCGGGCCAAAAACAGCTGGTACGTGCAAGTTTTGAGTGACAGGTTCTTATCATACAAACTTGGTTAGGGTTGCCGCAAGGACCTCAAAACACTGACCATATACAACTGACCAAAAACTTCGATTTTTCATTTAAGAAAATTCAAAATGGCGGAAAAATTATTGGGGGGTCTGTAGCCCCCAACCCCCCGCTGCTCCGCGGTCCATGAACACCTCAAGTTCTTTGCAAATACATTGCTCGATTTCCAAGGTCCCCTGACGTTCATCAAGTTTACAACATTGCTGTGCTTCTAAGGACTCCTCTAGTCTACGTAGGTCTGTTTCTAGGGACGTCTTGAGTTTGTCAGATTGGACTTTTTCTGCTGCTAAGGATGCAATAACTTAAATTAGCATGGGAACACTTGTTGTATGATGTAGACATCAATTAGTGACAATTAAGTAAATTAAATTATTTCGTCGTTGAGCACTCTTGGATGTATTAAGCTTGGGGATGCCTTTCAAGATGGCGCAGGGAACCGTGAAGGAGACTATTGAGGGGGAATATTAACATGTTCACTTAGACCTAGTGTGCTTATAATCGTCCGAATCAACCAAAAACCAGGAGCCCATTACTAGGAGCCTTCCTCTCCCATGGGCTTGTGGAACGGCATTTACCCCTCTTGGTGCTATTTTTAGATTTACCCRCCATTCCCCGCGCGCTTATTGAGATGCCGAGTTGTGAAGAGCCGCCGGCCGCCGTCAGGTGTTTTTAGATTGAATTTTATATTTGTACAAGTGAAGAAATTTTCGCTTTTACAAAAACTATTATGTAACAAAGGTTGAATGGCATCATTAACTATTATATTCAAATGTCATAAGATAGCGAAAAGGTATAAAAAATAAGCGAAAAAGCTCATATGAAAGAATCGCCATTTCTGGTTTCTTTTACCGACGAATCTACTGATCAAAAAGCATGACAGTGAACACAAAATAATCTATTCTTATAATGAGTTCTTTATCTAAAAAAATGTGACAGATCACAATTAAAGTAAAAATCTGCATTCAATAAATTTGTTTGTGACAGTTTTGTACAATATTTTGCATCTTGAAATAAAAGCTCTTTACAAATGAAGTTACCTTAAAGTCCACCTCACCCAATTTTTTTTACAGTTCGAAAAAAAAGTTTAGGAGTTATAAACCACAAATTCACATAAAAAAAATTCGAATTTCCAAATTTTATATTTTTTATGCTCGTTTAATTCGGCCAAATGATTTGTGTAGGTATCTATCGTTGTCTCTCGAACGACTTACTCCCTCTACGTCATCACGAAGACATTGATMAKGCACACAGGAAYMCCGAAATTGGCTTTGTCCGCGGTTGTTTTCGCTTCAAAATGTAGTTTAAATAAACGAAATCAAATTTGTATGTACAAATTGTTGTTACTATGACAAAAGTCGTTTCTTTACAAATATAAAAAAAATTGGTTGAGGTGGACTTTAATGGAATTTCGGCGCCTTTTTTTTGAACAGCCGATGAACAGTCCTCTTAAATATTGTGGGCTTAATTTTTTATGGTCATATAAATTAGTCAACCCAAAAAGAGTTCCATTCAATGTCCATTTGCTTGTAAAAATTTGCAATCAACGTAATCTAAGGGACGGTCCATT